TTATTATGTTTGTTTATGGATGTTATATGTGTGAATGATATTCAAGACGCTTTGTATAATATGGATGTGTTAAACTGCGGTTAACTATTCGTATTGTACGGCGGGTTGTTGACGTGTCCGGGTAGGTCCGGGGCGTGACAATTAAGTTGGTATCAGAGCCTTAGTCCATAAACTTCATAATGAAGTCTCAAAATTCCTTTTTTCAAAATGATTTTGAAAACCATGAGCATAGAAAATGTTTTGTACTTAACAACTTTTGGTGTTGAGTTGCAAGGTCTCTAATTGTTAAGATGGCGCCCTTAACGATTGGTATGGCGGTGACTTGGCCCAAGAGATGTCTTAAGTGCCTATCTGTCAGTTGACATTTGAAACGAGTCTAATGACTCATTCTAATTATTTCTTTCAGCGATGGAGGGTGACGGTGGTATTATGAATAGGGAGAACTCGGAAGGGTTTGCACCGGGTGGAACCGGGCATGCCAACCGAGAAAAGCCCTTAGGACCAAAGGTGCACGAAACTCTTGAAGCTCAAATCGTGAGTGGTGGTCATGTTAAGACCAAGGAAGAATCACCTTGTTATGGCAAAACTGAACCACTCAAGGCTTCGGGTGACGAAGGAGATGATTTGAGTGATGAGGACCTTGATGGTGCACCCATTGAACAAATGGGCATGGTCATAGATTGGCTTCAACGTGAACGTGTGAGGCTTATACAAAAACGCCAAGCTAGGCAAGCTGAGGGCATACCATTAGTAAGGAAAAAGGAAGCGGGGAGACAACGATTCCCAAAGACATTCAAGGAGGACAAACGTTGAGGGTGACAAAACCTTCAGGGCGCAGACACTATCACTTGAGTGGAGTCGAGGCTTGGGTGGCCCGAACTCGAGGTCAAAAGGTCCGAGGGTACCTAAGTGCAACAATTGCAAGAAACACCACTCGGGTAAGTGTCAGGACCCTCCCAGGTGCTATCAATGCACAGAGGTCGGGCACACGAGAGTGAGTTGCCCACAAATTGTGCAAAACCAAACTTCGGGGTCAAGTGGTGGAACTACAAGAAATGAAAACCAAACCGAGGTTTCTCAAGGGAGCAGGGGACATGGGGGAGCAAGCACGAGCAACGCGCCATCCGTGAACCAAGGAAGGACCCAAGCTAGGGTCTATGCGATGACGGAGGCGGATGCTCAAGCTAACCCGGATTCCGTTGAAGGTAGTACCTCTTGTATACTTGTTTTTTATCCTTAATTAGTCCATAAATTGAGGTTACTAGTCGTTGGGATCATTGTACGAAGCTTTGGGATCAAACGGAGCGAAATCGGGCGAAAGACGGCTGATTTCCGCCAACGCACACCAGGCTGGACCATACGCACGGCCGTGCGTTGTCCGTGCGTTGGTCCGTGCGTTGGTGGCAGTAGCAACCGGGAAGAAATTGCTATACGCACGGCCGTGCGTTGTCCGTGCGTTGGTCCGTGCGTTGGTGGCAGTAGCAACCGGGAAGAAATTGCTATACGCACGGACGTGCGTTGTCCGTGCGTTGGTCCGTGCGTTGGTGGCAGTAGCTCCGTTTTGAGGTTATAAGACACGCACGCCGTGCGTACCTCCTAGGCACGCCGTGCGTACCTCCTGGGCAGCCCAAAGTCGACTTTTTCGCGCCATATTGCAACGTTAAGACCTGTTCTTGATCCCAAACACGTGTGTGAACATAATAAACCTCTCTAAATGTATAAGAATGGTAGGAAAGGTATCTCACATGACTTATAAATGTAGGAACACTAAAGATTAATGGGAAGCATGCACGAATCCTTATCGATACCGGAGCGCAACGTTCATTCGTAAGTGAGGCGTTCGCCGAGGGCTTAGAGATACAATCAATACCAATGACGCAAACTTTAGTGGTATCAACACCACTAGGGGAAGACATTGAAAGAACCAGATACTATCCATCCTGTGAGGTGGAAATCAATGGCCAAACCTTGATGTGTGATTTCGTACCGCTGAGTATGATGGAATTCGATGCAATCCTAGGGATGTATTGGCTAGAAAAGCATCATGCTAGGGTCGATTGCTACACGAAAGTACTTGAACTCGAAGGCGATGAAGGGGTAACCTTACGCTTCGAGGGGGATAGGGCAAAATCCAATAGTTGTATCATATCCGCCGTGAGAGCTAGGAATATGATGAGGAAGGGATGTCACGCATATCTAGCGTATGTGGTGGACAAAACCAAAGAGGAGACAAGCATCGATGATGTGAAAGTGGTGTGCAAGTATCCGGATGTTTTTCCAAAAGATTTACCGGGACTTCCACCCGATAGAGAGATTGAATTTGTGATCGAGGTCGAACCTGGCACCAAACCAATCTCCATACCGCCATACCGTATGGCACCCGCTGAACTTAACGAGTTGAAAACCCAATTGCAAGAGCTATTGGATAATGGTTTCATTAGACCAAGACACTCCTCGTGGGGAACACCAGTTCTTTTTGTGAAAAAGAAAGATGAGACACTTCGAATGTGCATTGACTATCGTCAACTGAACAAAGTCACAATCAAGAATAGGTATCCTTTGCCTAGGATTGATGACTTGTTTGATCAACTACGAGGAGCAACCGTGTTTTCGAAGATTGACTTGAGGTCGGGGTACCATCAATTGAAGACCAAGGAAGATGACATACCAAAGAGTGCTTTCCGCACAAGGTATGGACATTTTGAGTTCCTTGTTATGTCGTTTGGGTAACAAACGCCCCAGCGGCATTCATGGACTTGATGAACCGAGTATTCCATAAATACTTGGATCGATTCGTGATTGTGTTCATAGATGACATCTTGATTTACTCAAAGAGTGAAGAAGAGCACGAGGAGCACTTGATACTTGTTCTTGAGACACTACGGGAGAAGCAACTTTATGCCAAAATTTCTAAATGTGAATTTTGGCTAAAGGAAATTCGCTTTCTCGGGCATGTGGTTTCGGGATCGGGAATTGCTGTTGATAACAAGAAGATAGAGGCCATTACCGAATGGGAGAGACCAAAGAATGTCAAGGAAATTCGTAGTTTCCTTGGATTGGCACGCTACTACAGAAAGTTCGTGGAAAAGTTCTCTGTTTTGGCGTCGCCGTTGACGAAGCTCACTCGAAAGGGAGCTAAGTTTATATGGGATGACAAATGTGAGAAAGGATTCATCGAACTGAAGAAGAGATTGACCGAGGCACCGATACTTGCATTACCCAAACAGAGTATGGGGTACGATGTCTATAGTGACGCGAGCATCCAAGGGTTTGGGTGTGTGTTGATGCAGGAGGGGAGGGTAATTGCCTATGCTTCACGACAGTTGAAGAAGCATGATGTAAACTACCCTACCCATGATCTGGAGCTGGGAGCAGTAGTGTTTGCACTGAAGATTTGGAGACATTATCTCTACGGAGACACATGTCATATATGTACTGATCATAAGAGCTTGAAGTACGTGTTTACTCAGAAAGAGTTAAACATGAGACAGAGACGATGGATGGAGTTGATAAAGGACTACCATCTAGTTATTGAGTACCATCCAGGTAAGGCAAACGTTGTAGCAGATGCCCTCAGTCGGAAGAGTTCGTCTGGGGCATTGTTGACTAGTTTGAGGGCACTGAGGGCCCAATTGGATGTATCTAGCGACAGTGCCTTATTGGCATGATTCGAGGTGAGACCGACCTTACTTGATGAGATCAAGAAGGGTCAAGAGACTGACGCAGAACTTATGAAGGTCCGGGAACGCATGCAAGCGGGACCGGTGGAGGATTTCAGGGAAAGAGATGATGGTCTCTTGTTATTTCGTGACCGAGTGTGTGTACCGTCAGATGAGGAGCTCCGTAAGTCCATCTTAGAGGAGGCTCATTCATCAGCTTATGCCATGCACCCAGGGGGCACGAAAATGTACCGAGATTTGAAAGAAAGTTACTGATGGTCTGGAATGAAGAGGGAAATAGCCGAATACATCAGTCGATGCCTTACTTGTCAACAAGTTAAGGCGGAACATCAGCATCCAGCAGGCTTATTGCAACCACTTTCCATTCCTGAATGGAAGTGGGAACATGTGACTATGGATTTCGTGGTAGGTTTACCACGGACAATTCAGAACTTTGATGCAGTTTGGGTTGTTGTGGATAGGCTCACGAAGAGTGCACACTACTTGCCTATCAACACTACCTACCCACTTGAGAGGTTAGCCAAATTGTATACAGATGAAATCGTGAGGCTGCATGGGGTCCCAGTGACCATTATATCCGATAGACACCCGCGATTCACATCACGTTTTTGGCCGAAATTTCAGGAGTCTATGGGAACGAGGTTGAAGTTCAGTACTGCTTTCCACCCACAGACGGATGGGTAGTCTGAAAGAGTCATACAGATCTTAAAAGACATGCTGAGGGCTTGTGCATTGGAGTTCCAAGGTGTTGGGACAACCACTTAGCACTTGTGGAGTTTGCCTATAACAACAGTTATCATGCAAGCATCGGCATGCCTCCATACGAGGCATTATATGGGAGGAGGTGCCGTACACCGTTATGCTGGGACGAGGTTGGCATGGCCAAACTCGAGGGTACTGAGTTAATTGAGATCACCAAGTCAAAGGTGAAGTTGATTCGAGAGAGACTCAAAGCGGCTCAGGATAGACAAAAGAGTTATGCAGATAAGCGCCAAAGAACCTTAGAATTTAAGGTTGATGATGAGGTATTCTTGAAAGTTTCTCCTTGGAAAGGAATCATTCGATTCCAAACCCGAGGAAAGCTTAACCCACGATATATAGGTCCATTCAGAATTACAGAGAGGATTGGGGCCGTAGCATATCGCCTGCAGTTGACTCCTGAATTAGAGAAGATACATAACGTGTTTCATGTATCCATGCTTAAGAAGTATGTGCATGATCCCTCTCACGTATTGGAAAAGCCGACTGTAGAGGTACGTGAGGATTTGAACTACGCTGTGCAGCCAATCAAGGTCACCGATAGAAGGGTGAAGAAACTGAGGAGCAAAGAAGTCCCAATGGTTAAAGTACTTTGGAAGAGCGATCGGGTCGAAGAAGAGACATGGGAAACAGAGGCTTTGATGAGGAAGCAATATGCCTTCCTATTCAAGTAGAGTTGCGAATTTTGGGGACGAAATTCCTGTTAAGGGGGGGTGAACTTGTGACACCGCACCCGAGCGTCCTTGAAAATTCAATTCAAGATTCAAAGTTATGTATTGAATTTCCGGGTTACCAAACAATTGTAGAACAAGTTATGTTTTACGTAGTGCATGATTGAATGTTGTACTGTTCAAACTCGTATATTAGTGCCGGGTTCCGCAAATACTTATTTGGGCCTTATTAATGAACATAAGAGCCCAATATTACTTAAATATTGTTACTTAACCTTTCAAGACAATTTGAGGAAGGTCGGGCGGCCCAAATATTATTTTGGGCCCAACCTGTTAAAAATAGCAAATATTCGAGAATGGCGTCCTAGACCCACTCGGGAGTGACCCACACGGCTAGTAGCCCAATAATATGTATGACAAATGTCAAAATAAGTGATAGAATAATTGGAGAAGAATACAAATACCTATAGCCCCATCTTTGACATTATTGAACTAAATAATGGGAGGGGGATTTTCCTTCTATAATATCCATCAAGTAAATTATTGAGATGAGCCTACACATATTGAAGATCAATAATGTGATGTAGGAAGTTGACTTGTTCTAAATAAATTAGGATGAGTACAAAAAGACATCTTTTAACAAAAGATAAAACAATAGGACCCATTTTCCCATTTTTGGAAGTATTGGTAGATATTTTGGACCCCAAGTTGAATGGGATCAATTGGGAACCATTACAAATGGAATTGGTACCTGCAAAACAAAGGAAAAGAGGTGAGATGACTATATGGGGCGGACTCTTGGCTCACATGCACAAAAAAACTCCAAGAAAAACAAAAGGGGGAGGTCCACCCCATATTTGATTGCAAACCAAATATCTCCCATGCTCTTTTGTAAGCCACATGCTCTCTTAGCATGTTTAAGGTCTCCTATACACTACCCCATACACCCCATTCGAACCCCAAAGAGATAAGAGAGCAAAAGCATCCACACAACCCAAGAGAGAAGGAAGGAAGAGAGCAGTCCGCTGGTTCGTTCTTTAGTGCGTAGTGCTGATTGTTTGAGTCATAACTTGAGATTGACTCGTCCAATCAAGACGTATAAGGTACCAAAAGAAAGCTCTCAAGACGAGTAATCCGTGAAGGTCTGTTTTGCATCAATCGGAGTAGTGGAAGACTTCCAAATCGTCCGAGCAAAACACAATCTTGCAGGAACGGATTTACTCTCCTAAAGTGAGTAATCACCCAAAACCTTTACTTTTCATTTTCCAAATGATATGAACGATTGGTGGAACTATTGTACACTAATACAAGTGTATAATATGTCCTTGTAAAGTTATTTTATTGATGTAAAGGTTAGATACTAACCTAGAGTAAATCTTGGAAAACTAGGAGACGAGTTAACCGGAGAACACCCATTCTAGGGGCTGTTTTCGTATCAACGTTTGAGGGTTGAGCTAGCACTTTGAGGAGGCTGGTTAACACTCATATTTAAGCAAGGAATCAGTTCCTAATCCACCTTGGCCAAATCTTTGACCATTGGATCAAGAAGGAAAAGTTTAAAGCTCAAATAAGGTGAGGATCGACATCTAGTTGCTTACAACTTATAGGTTAAGCATGAGATTACCTAAATGCCTAAATAATGTTTTCCATGGATTATGGTGATAAATTATTGATGGAATATTGATCTATTTTCCAAAGAATGAAATGGGAAATGATTTGGTAAAGTATTGATAAAAAATGGAGTTAAATGAACTATTGTGTGAAATAGGCATTTTACTCATGTCTGAATTGTGTAGATACATACATGATTATTTATGTATTACATTGAATGATTAAGTTGCTGCTACATATCTCTAAATATGTAGGGTTTTACAAATGGAATATATGATGGATAAGAATAATCTTAATAGTATTGAAATACTAGTTAATGATCGCAGGTTGTGTGTGTGGGTTGTCATGCGCAGAGTCAAGGAGGCACTGAAAAAAACATCAACTCTGGTAAGGGATCGTCACCAACAGCTCATGGCAGACTAGACAAGAGGCCGACCGATTTCAGATCGGAGATTGCATCTCCATCAACGCAGGGACCCGCACCAATTAATTACGTTGGAAGACTGATTGGCGTGGAATCTCATCTGCTTGGCAATGCTCGTACCATCACATGGGCGGAAATTGTTAGTAGTGAACCGAAAGGAGACAAAGGCAGCACCTCGATTGGACGCTTTCAACCATCCGCACAACTTGATGAAAACCATTCTACCAACCAGGTCACTAATTTACAGAGCCGATTGGGCGCTTTCAACCATCCGCACAACAATTTTACAGAGCCGACCATTCCATGTCAAGCCACACCAGATTTGGATTCGGAAAAATTCAATTTTTTTGGCGAAGATGGTTTTGACTCCATCAAAATTGAATCTAAGCTTTTTAGATTTGCTGTCAGAAATAATGAAGTAGTGATTTTTGAAATTCAAAAATCTATGCTCAAAAGGATCAATTTTAAAACTGTGATCGCACCAAAGATCTACAGTTTTATTCAGCAACTCTCATGCTCAGATAAATTTGCTATAGGACAGAGCAGAAAATTCGGGCCTATCACTGTTTCTTCGGTACTGAAGAGTTCAGATTGTTATGTGAAGATTGCTAAAGATAAGGGGAGTGCGATTCTAATCCCTAAAGGCCCACACAATTCAAAGTTAAATGTTTTTTTGACATTCTTTTCTAATTTTGTATCTGAATTAGAGCAGCAGGAATTCAGGCATTGGGAGCATGAGACATCGGCTGATACTGAGGTTATAACAATTTCCAAACTCATATTTAACTATGAAGTGCAGAGAGCTTACAGCGGGAAGCAACAACCCCCTTCCCTTGAGAAACAACCACAAATTCCTCTTATCCAGGCCTACTCTGACGCCTCGGACAGCTTTGACCATTCTGATGAATCTTTTTTCTCAGACGATTTTCTAGGGCATGCCACCGAAAGCGATCGACGCCCTCCGTTATCCAACCAGGAAGAAATTGGGAACTCCAAATTCAACAGGACGATTTGCCGCAAAGCAAAGCTAGTCACATCCGAAAATTGTCTGCCGACAGAGAACCTGAACACGCAACTAAAACTTTACAGGAAATCTCAGCAAAATAAAAGGCGACACAGTATGAGGACCAGATCGCAGTCTAGAGATTTCCCTTGGGTTTAGTATTGTCTTTTAATTTATTTATTTTGTTTCCTTCTTTTCCGTGTTTTTCTCCTTTTATTTGACTTCTTTTCATGTAAAAAAAAAAAAAAAAAAAATGGAATAATTTATAGGATAGATTAAATTGAAATAGAAGAGACAAAAAGATTAAAGATTACTGGACTATTTGATTAAACCGAGTAATGAGAATTATGAGATAAAAAAAAAAAAAAAAAAAAAAATAAAAAAAAAAAAAAAAAAAAAAAAAAAAAAAATAAAAAAAAAATACTAGTTAATGATTGTTGTAATTGTTAAGGAATTGAATCTATGGATTTGATTGTAATTGATGAACTTGATTGTGATGCAAGTGACTAAATTGATGTAATGTGATGCTAAGACCATGGTTGGGCAGTCTGTAAAGATGTCCCAAAATAGATTATTGATATTACAATTCTAGGCATAGCGAGTGCTTAGGAATTGGGGTCTATGCCAATGTAAGAAGATGTACTTGAGCCGTGCTCATAGAATTGCATTGGGTAGACATGATGGGGTGATTGTTGTGCATGGTGATGTAGTTGAGTTGGACTCAAGAAATGCACGGTGGAGTAGTTAGCTTATGTTAATTAAGGTGCATGGTGATGTAGTCGAGTTGGACTCGAGAATGCAAACATATGTGTTAGGGTTGAACCCTATGAATTATTGTGACTAGGGGTCACGGGGTTTTGGGCTATGTTTGATAAACAAACCTTGGGCCTACGGGCCGACTACTTGACTTTATATATAAAGTAAGTATATTTTAAAAAGGGGTAACTTGGGGTTACGGCCTGGATTATATTATCACCCTATTTGAGGGTCTTGTGTTTGAAATACTTGTTGTATATCTATTAGATGTCATCCACACTAGCACTTTATAGCCCTATAGAGTGCTGACCCCTTCGGGGGCGTCCCACCACCATTTTTCAGGTTGAGGCTAGAGCTTGCTTCCTGTGCTCGTTGCTCGAGAGATCATCTAGGAGCGAAGACTTGGTTCGTGCTTCCTCCATTCGGCTTTTAAACATTAATAAACATGCTCATGGATATTTTACTATAGAGCCTGCGTGCTCATGAATAGCCCGGTGTGGCCTTTTTGTTTTAAACAATGTTTTCCGCTGCATTATGAATTACTTATTATGTTTGTTTATGGATGTTATATGTGTGAATGATATTCAAGACGCTTTGTATAATATGGATGTGTTAAACTGCGGTTGACTATTCGTATTGTACGGCGGGTTGTTGACGTGTCCGGGTAGGTCCGGGGCGTGACACTATGAGTGTATAGGACTCCTCCTTGTCCCTATTTCAATATCATAATCTATGAGTTTTGAGGATCAAAATCCCTGGGTACTCCACCAATTTATATTTGAGTGTTAAGGACTTTTAGTCCTAGGGTCCTCCACCAATTTATAATCCGAGTGTTAAAGACTTTAAGTCCTAGGGTCCTCCACCAATTTATAATCCGAGTGTTAAGGACTTTGAGTCCTAGGGTCCTCCACCAATTTATAATCCGAGTGTTAAGGACTTTAAGTCCTAGGGTCCTCCACCAATTTATAATCTGAGTGTTAAGGACTTTAAGTCCTAGGGTTCTCCACCAAAATATGAGTGTTAAGGACTTGTAAGTCCTAGGTTCCTCCACCAAAATATGAGTGTTAAGTACTTGTAAGTCCTAGGGTCCTCCACCAAAATATAATCCTATGATCAACCTACTATCAACCTAGATAGAGTCTATATCATACTTAGTCATTCATAACTAATTCAATACATAAAGCTTATGTATCACAATCCGTGCAAAGCCATGCACTTACATAAATTTATAATTAACTAATATCCACTGATATTAATTAATCCATTATCCATCGGTCAACGTTGCCGTTGACCGCCATTTCAAGCCTTGTACATATCAACTTAATCATCATATAATTAAGTTAATAATATTAATTTGTGCTTATTTTACACTTCAAACAAATGTGCATTTTATATGATCCTTCATATCATATTCCATGCATAAACAATTAAATTTTTCTTATACAAACTTAACCATGTTGGCTAATCACATGCTTAAACATCTTTTAAACATCAGTATGAACACATATAACATTTATTTAGGTAATCTCATAATTAACTCAAAAGTTATAAGATATTAAGCCGTCCACTCACCTTGAACTAGCGTTATGAAGTTCTACCCCTCTTTGTTGAACTCCGGTGAAACTCCGGCGACTTTTGGTCAACTCCGGCGACAACTCCGGCGACTTTTACAACTTTGTGAAATCACTTGAAATACCCTTTACAAGTGCCTAACAAGGTTTTATAATCGTAAAACCCATATTAATACAAATAACCTCAAAAAGGTTATTTTCCGGTGAACCGGTTGTTTTGGCTCCTAAGTCCGTTCTTGGACATAGAACCATCTTCCAACCCATAAATCCATACCCATAACATGTGTAACTATACCAAGGGTCCTTCAAATGATATATACCTCAAATGGTAGAAGAAAAATAAAGGAAAAGTTATGATAAGGTTATTACCTTAGTTTTCACACTTTTTCCTATCTTTTTCCTTCTATAATCTTCTTCCTTGGACTCCTATTGCTTGAGCTTTGTTCTTGGATATGGAGGATGTATTTTGAAGGGGGTTTCTTCTCCTCTTGATGAGCCTTGGCCGAAAATGAGGATGGAGGTGAGAGGAAGTACCACCTTTTGGCTTATTCCACCATGATAACATGGCAAGGACCCCCCATATGTATTTTTGATGCCAATCCCCTCAAGGCAACCACTCCCACACCCCTCCTCTCCAATCAGCCAGCCTCACCCCTCTCACAGCCCACATAATTTCGTGGGTTGGCCCGCACATGTGTGGGAGGTCACCCCTTTAAGCTTTGAAGTGTACAAACGGTCCCGAAAGTTGTATTTTTCAGACTGTTTTAACTATATTTTATTTTATCGGGTCAAATAAAATATATTACTTACTCTCAATCATAACGCCCCTTTGAAATAATATATATTCCAAAACTTTAATTTGGAAATCTCCGAAATTCATTTTCGGGCTGTTATCTGTTAAATTGTCGGTACCGGTATTTGGGCCTCTTTTGTCCAATCAGGCAACTCTGCGCCTTTCCACGACCCAAATAAAATATCCACCACCATATAAATATTATCTTGACCAAGATGAATAAAATATGTGGTCTCGGGAATGTTGGGTGGTCCCCGCTCCCGATGTGGGTCCCACGTGCAAATTTACTATTCACGCGAAAGAGATAACAAAAATTTACAACTTCGTAATCCAATTAATCATTTAATAAGGTTCAATACATTATTTACATAAAAGTAAATATATTTGGGGACGGTGTTACAAGTTCACCCCCATTATTTGGGATTTCGTCCCCGAAATCCATGTGTCTAATCGAAAAGAAATGAGTATTGCTCCCTCATTGAGACTTCGGTCTCCCATGTTTCTTCTTCGACCCGATCACTTCTCCACAGAACCTTTACCATAGGAATTTCCTTGTTCCTAAGTTTCTTCACTTGTTGACCAACAATCTTCACTGGTTCAACCGCGTATTGCAAATCCTCACGGATCTCTACCGGTGGTTTCTCAAGAATATGAGATGGGTCTCGTATGTACTTCTTGAGCATTGATACATGAAACACGTCATGTATCTTCTCAAGTATAGGCGTTAACTTGAGATGATAAGCCACGGCCCCAATCCTTTCAAGGATCTCAAACAGACCTATGTATCGGGGGTTAAGCTTTCCCCTCGATACGAATCGGATGATGCCCTTCCAAGGAGAAATCCTTAGGAAGACCTCATCACCGACTTCGAACTCCAACGGTCTCCGCCGTTTATCAGCATAACTCTTCTGTCGGTCCTGAGCAGCCTTCAGTCTATCCCGAATGATCCTCACCTTGGCCTTGGTGATCTCAACCAGCTCTATCCCTTCGAGTTTGGCCTCACCAACCTCGTCCCAACACAATGGTGTTTTGCACTTCCTCCCATACAATGCCTCATATGGAGGCATGCCGATACTTGCCTGATAACTGTTGTTATAGGCAAACTCCACTAGATCCAAATGCTTGTCCCAACTTCCTTGGAACTCCAAAGCACATGCCCTAAGCATGTCTTCCAAAATCTGTATCACCCGCTCGGACTGTCCATCCGTCTGTGGGTGAAAGGTTGTGCTAAACTTCAGTTTAGTACCCAACGATGCTTGAAACTTTGGCCAAAATCGGGATGTGAATCGTGGATCCCTATCCGAGACAATGGATATCGGGACTCCATGTAATCTCACAATCTCCTCCGTGTAGAGCTTGGCCAATCTTTCAAGAGGATAAGAAATGTTGATAGGCAAAAAGTGTGCACTCTTGGTGAGCCTATCAACCACTACCCATACTGCGTCATAGTTGTTCACTGTTCGTGGCAGCCCCACCACGAAGTCCATGGTCACGTGCTCCCACTTCCACTCCGGGATGGTAAGTGGTTGCAAAAGCCCTGCCGGGTGCTGATGCTCTGCCTTAACTTGCTGGCAAGTAAGGCATCGACTCACATATTCTACGATGTCTCTCTTCATAACTGACCACCAGTAACTTTCCTTCAAATCTCGGTACATTTTAGTACCTCCCGGATGCATAGCATAAGCTGAAGAATGACCCTCCTCAAGTATAGACTTCTGGAGGTCTTCATTCTTTGGTATGCATACACGATCCTTAAACAATAATAAACCGTCATCACGTACTCGGAAGTTCTCAACGGGTCCTTCCAGGATCCGTTCACGAATCTTTTGACACTCCTCATCGATGGCCTAACATCTACTGATCTCACCCAGCAATGTAGGCCTAACCTCGAACCTAGCAATGAGTGCCCCGCTCGTGGACATTTCCACGTGTGCCCTCAATGCTTGTAGACAAGTAAGTAACGTCCCTGACGTACTCTTCCTGCTCAGTGCGTCAGCCACTACGTTGGCCTTTCCGGGATGATAGTCGATGATCAAGTCATAGTCCTTGATCAACTCCATCCATCTCCTCTGTCTCATATTCAACTCTTTCTGAGTGAATAGATACTTCAAACTCTTATGATCAGTATAAATGTGACACGTCTCCCCGTAGAGATAATGCCTCCAAATCTTCAATGCAAACAGTACCGCCCCCAACTCCAGATCGTGGGTAGGGTAGTTCACCTCGTGTTTCCTCAATTGCCTAGAAGCATAGGCAATCACCTTACCGTTTTGCATCAGAACACATCCAAGCCCTTGGATGCTAGCATCGCTGTAAATATCATACCCTATCCCCTGTATGGGTAGGGTGAGGACTGGTGCTTCGGTAAGTCGTTTCTTCAATTCAAGGAACCCTTTCTCACACTTGTCGTCCCATATGAACTTGGCCCCTTTCTTTGTGAGCTTCGTTAATGGAGACGCCAATACAGAGAATTTTTCAACAAACTTACGATAGTATCCCGCTAAGCCAAGGAAACTACGTATCTCTTTCACATTCTTGGGTCTCTCCCAATCCATGATAGCTTTTATCTTGGCGTTATATAATTAAATTTTAACCACCCTCACACGTTTTTCTGGTTCCACAACTGTTTACTACTTTACTACTACATATAAAAGCTATGTTTTCATGCAAAGTTTCCGTGCAAGTACCTGGGCCGGATAGATAGTGTTGGAAAAATGTGTCAAAATTGCATTAAATGGTTAATTTCGGGCAATATTTTGAGAGGGATCCACTTCCAATTTGGATCGGGTCAAAGTGGTTTCGGATTCATCTTGTTAAAGGCTTAAATTTGATATGTGGTACACTCAAAACGGATAATGAGTGAATGAGAAATTGATTCTCGAAGTTCACTCGTTGAAATGGAAAAAATGAGAAAAAGATGAGTTTCTAGTGTGATTTATCCCACACCGGAAAACCCAAAGGATATCACCCCCTTATAAAGATGACCCTCTTTTAAAGAGTTAAGATTCCCAATTGGAAAGGATATGTTCACGTGTAAGGGGATCTGTGGACACGAATGTCATCCAAAGATCTATCTTTCAAAGATACGATTTATTTTTTGTTTCTTCCCGTAACATTTTTTTTCAGAATCAAAACTGCTCGGATGGACATAACTGCTTCTGCTCTGCACCAGAACTACTAGGACAAAACGCCTCTGCTGCTCCGCTTCATAACTGCTTGGACCAGAACTCTTCCAAAGCGTTACAGTAGTTAATGTCCAACGTTCTTCTCCTTTAATGCGTCTTTTTAAATGGACAATTTTTCGATACATTAATGCCCAACGTTCTGGTCATTTATGTCCAACGTTTAGGTCCATTAAAGTTCATTTAACATACAACAAATTCATCCATATATATAGCTGACAGATGATTTGCAACAACACACGTCCAACACGACACAACACAGTTAACACATTGTGTCTCAGCTAAAAACACCTCCAGCTTTTCGAGATTTCCTTGGTGTTCTCACTTTGTTCCCGTTCGCCAGAACAATCGATTATGTGCTCAAACGGTTGTTCGTAGCCACCGTATACTGGGAAACTATCGCTGCAACGCTTCTAGCACCATGAGGGACAACAAATACGTTTTAAGAAAATTGTGCATAACACAAGCTTTGACTTTTCTGTTCCATTAGTGGCGGAGCCAGGACACTGGACCAGACCGGGCCGGTACAAAGAAAATTTTTAGAAAAAATTTTACACGAAATTTTTATCTTAAAAATTAAGTCATTTTTTAAATTTGGGGTGGGCCATGGCCTAGATTGGCCCACCCCTAACTCCGCCCATAGTTCCATCTTCTTTGTGTTTCTTTCTTGACTATTGTTATTAATCATAAATTAATTTATTTGTTATTCCGAACTTCACCCCAGTGGCGGAGCCAGGAGTTCGTGTCAGTGGTGTCAATTTAGCACAACTGTCCCCAACGCGTTTTCATATTTTGAAAACGTTGTACAATTTTTTCTTTGTCAACACTTTTGAATATATCTTTTTCAATAAAAGTAACTAAGGCATCATTCATCATAGCATCCCCCATTCGATCGCGCAACCTGTTCTTCACGAACTTCATGGCTGAGAAGGCTCTTTCCACAGTTGCGGTGGCCACTGGTAAAAGCAAAGCTAATTTCACAAGTAAAAAAACTCATGGATACACAATATGTTTTTTTGTCTCCACCAATTTTTGAGCAAGAGGACAGGTGGAGCGACCTGCGAACGCCGACCAAGGGTTTCCGATTTCAGCGATTTGGGAATTGGGACTACGACTTACGGCGTTACATCGTTTTTTTCTTTTTGCAGCGGGAGTTGGCGTTCAATAAGCCATTTGGGCATAGACTTTTCAATTTTCCTTGACTGCTTTGCTGACTTTTCAATTTGGTGTTCCAACTTTTAAAATTTTTAAATTGACCCCCATTTTTTAAAATGTTGGATGGTGTCAATTTATAATTTATGAAAGATTATCTATACTTATATAGAGAATTTTTATTTTTCAGTGGTGTCAATTGTAAATTTTAAATTCTTTTTTATATACCTACATATGAAAAAAAGAATTCCAGTGGTGTCAATTGACATCACTAGCCAAAGGGTGGCTCCGCCACTGCTTCACCCAACAAATATTTAACTTTTTTCATTACTCTTCCCATTTCGAAATAGTTAACTTTGTCCATTGCTAAACTACTCTGTTTCATTTTATGTGTTTTGCACTTCTGCTTCACATAATGATGTCTTTCGGTGTCTTTGAGGGGAAAATAAGAGCTTCTATAATAATACTTCAATTTATATAGCTTTGTAAATTGAGAAAACTATACTAAAAATAAATTCAAAACCTAAACTTGAACTCAAATGCTACGGTACATTAATAAAAGAGAATTGTGGGATAAGACTTTTTTTTTTTTGAATAATGTGGGATAAGACTTAAGAGTGATGATATACGAATTTGAATCCTCTCCCATAACTAGAAAAAAATATGGAGAAAGTGTATGAAACTTTTAAATATATCCCAAAATGGAAAGTGTATAAAACTTTAAAATACGTACATGGTATAGTACATACAAATTTTAATATCATATACTCCGTACTTTGTACATAATTTTCTCTTAATATATTTGTCACTTCTTTGACACAGATATAATGAGTAGATTTATGAATTACATTTCGAGTCTATTTGGTCCATCATCTTGGCTTTATTACCAACCTTATAATCAACATTTTTTTATCAAACATTCAAACACATTATTTTGATTTTAGTCGCTAAATTGTGTAACAATAATGGAAGAGATTCAATCAGAATTTTAGCACATGGTTAGAATTGGTCTATAAAAAACAGCAATATTTTTTACCAAATCAGGACAAAAGTATACATAGGTGAGGATATTGCTTGAACTCCGAATACATTTCGAATTACGTAGTAAATGGAACGGGTAATAATTTGATTTAGGGAGCGTAACTCTGTAAGAGAGTGTTTGCAACTGTTTATACTTAAAAACACACTTTTAGAGATGTAAGGAAAAAGTGATTAGTAGTAAAAGTTGATAGTGTTTGAGAAAAAAGTAATTTTGAAAAGTAAAAGTTGGTAAAGTTTGGTATAATAAGTGTTTTTTGTGTTATACAAAAAGGAAAAACACTTTTCACACGCAAGCCGAGAAAAAGTAAAAATTGGTAATGCTTGGTAAATAAGTGCTTTTTTAAGTCAAAAGATGAGAAGTGTTTTTGTTAAGCGGTTGGAAACATGTAACTTAAGCAGTGTTTGCGGTTGCTTAAAAAAAGTACTTTTCAGCTTTTAGCTTAAAAAAAACTAAAAAGAGTGTTTTCAAATGACAGCTTCTGCTTAAATTAATCACTTAAAAGCTAAAAGTTGGAAGCAGGTGGAAGGGTGCTTTAAACTGCTTTTCACTTTTCTATTACACAAAAAGTACTTATTTTACCAAACATTACCAACTTTTACTTTTCAGAATAACTTTTTTCTCAAACACTACCAACTTTTACTATTAATCACTTTTTCCAAAATCATTTTAAAAAATAACTTTTGAAGCAATGACGCTCCCTTATTTTGATGTTTAAGTCGAAACTGGTACAGTTAATTCCCTGCAAGTTGTGCAACTGCCAACCAGCTGGAAGACTTTATATCGACCAGACGAGAGCAGCAGCAATGCCGAAATGGGAGTTGTCATGCATTATTATCCATAGCTCAGGGTTGATGAGTCATACAAGAAGGGCGGCTCCTCTTACCAATTCGCGCCATCTTTCATTGCTCTGTCCCCACCACACCAGACGCCGCTCTTCTTACAAGATCTTTTCTCTGCCGATTCCTTCCTCCACCGACACTTTCACGTCCTTATTTGACTACCCATCCACGGTATTGCTTTGCTTTTTTACCAATAAAACAAAATAAAGATGCCAAAACCACATGGGTAAAGTTCCAGAGCATAATAAAAGGGATTTGATTCATCACTAAGTTAGACAGAGCCATTGAGAGGATGGGAAAGATGAGTTCTTGGTTTTGTTTAATGGCAATTGGGATCGCACTATTACTACTTCAAGGGAATCGTATCAACGCGGAAGATCCATACAGGTTCTTTACATGGAATGTGACTTATGGTGATATTTACCCACTCGGAGTCAAGCAACAGGTGTGTATATATTGTGTGTGTATAAATGCATTAATTTTTTCTGTTTTAGTATCCGTTTTGCTTCTTTTAATGTTCTCAATTTGCAAACGTGATGTGTTCGATAAAATGCCGCAGGGAATATTGATCAATGGGCAGTTTCCCGGACCGAATATAGAGTGTGCGACCAACGACAACTTGATTGTCAATGTTTTCAACAGTTTGGATGAGCCATTTCTCCTTTCTTGGTACGTATGTAACTGGCTTCAATGCATTCTTCAACCTTTTGTTGTAGAACTGGAATTTGTACTGTAGTACCACTTGTATGTGCTGGATGTCAAATGAACTTATGAAGCTCTGTTTTAAGGGCAGCGCCAATCTGTCATTTTCCTCTGGTATGGGTAGCGTAATAGCATGAACAGTTTGCGTTTTACGTTTACAAAATAAGGCTTTTTTCGCTTTCGTTTAATCTTCAAATCTTTACCACGTCTGGTATGTATATAATTTTAATAAAATTATAAATTTGTTATAAACATTGTCTATAAAAATTGGAAACTGTTTTTGGGAACAATAAAACCCAGAAATCCATTTTTCCACTATTACAATTTACAACAAACAGTTTTTTGTTACAAATTTTCTTTTTTCTGTTTTTAGCACATGACACCTGAAAAATATGGCAATCTGGTTATATTTGAAAGCCAGAAAGCCTGTTAGTAAGGAGACAGATATAGATTATTAAATGATACACTTTGTGCCAACACAGGAATGGTGTGGAGCAGAGGAGGAATTCGTGGCAGGATGGAGTTTGGGGAACCAATTGCCCCATTCCACCTGGCAAAAATTTCACTTATGTCATGCAGGTTAAGGATCAAATTGGCAGCTTCTTCTACTTCCCGTCCCTTGCATTCCACAAGGCTGCAGGAGGCTTCGGTGTCGTCAATATTGCCAGCCGTTCTGTCATCCCCATTCCTTTTTCTCAACCTGCTGGAGAATACACTGTACTAGCTGGTGACTGGTTCAATCAAAACCACACTGTGAGCAACAAACCTTTTTATAGAAAACTCCATAGGTCTTCATTGTTACAGTTATTTTTTGAAATTCAAACTATATGATCTTCTGGACTTTCTAGGCCTTGAAAGCAACTTTGGATAACGGCCAAGAACTGCCATTCCCTGATGGGATTCTCATCAATGGGCGTGGATCCAACGGTTTAAGATTTGCAGTTGATCAAGGTATCTATCTAGATTATGATTTGTAAAGAACAAGAAAATTGCATACTTGGTCTTATATTTTGGGCAGCATCCAAACTAATCCTGTAGTAAGGACCATTTTCATACTTGGTCTTATAGTTTATTATATTTGCCTGATTTGAGGACCTTCAGTCCAAAAATTTATCACATGCTGTCATCACGTGTGGATCATGTGTTTACCTTAAGTAATTTTTAGGCATACAGAAGTTTATTCATCAATTAAAAACAGAATGAATTGAAAAAATTAATTGGAAATGACCAAATTGGGTAACATGACGAAATCTGGTGCTAGTTTGAATCTTCTGTACAACGTTCTCAAGTTGGGAAAGAATAATGAATTGCACAACCAAATATGATAAAGTGGCTTTTTGACTAAAACTTTAAATAATACTCGTATAAGACGAAAAATGCATTTTGTTGGAAATGAAAAACATAAAATTAAAGTTATAAGATGGCTTAATGGTATGTGAAACTTGGATGTGTTCAGGCAAGACTTACAGGTTCAGGATATCGAATGTTGGACTTGCAAATTCTTTGAATTTCAGAATCCAAGGGCACAAGATGGTACTGGTTGAGGTTGAAGGCACACATACACTGCAGAATACATATGATTCACTGGACATCCATTTAGGGCAGTCTTATTCAGTGTTGGTGACTGCTGATCAACCTGCACAAGATTATTATATTGTCTTTTCAACGCGGTTCACATCTAATGTGATCACATCAACTTCCATTCTTCAATATGGTAACTCTGCAGGAAGTGTTTTGGGACCTCTACCTGGTGGTCCTACTATTCAAATTGATTGGTCTCTGAATCAGGCCAGATCTATCAGGTAAAAAACTACAGTGATATGTTTGTGTGCTTAAATTGATAAAAGAAAGGAATTTAACAATTTAAGACCATGTTCTGTAAAACAAGCAAACAAGTTACTTCATAGTTGATAAGTTAGCGATTGACCTATAGAGTGCTAAATTTGTTAGCACTTATCTATCTGTCCCTAACTATGCCTTTATTGGTGACCTATACAAGAAACCATCAAACAAATAATGTGAGAATTTCACCACTTTCCAAATTTACACTCTAAAGGGTAGATGATTCACATAAAAAAGTGCAAATAGGTAAAAATGTCAAATCAAATTAGAAATGGGTAAAGAAAAAAAGTGTAAACTCTGGGAAGTCTTAAAAATGACAAGGGAGCATAGAAATACATGGCAAAAGTGATGTATTTGAAATTATTTAAAAATAAAACTTCAACAATAACGATATTTAAAAAATAAAAGCCAGATTAAAAATCAAATATGTCACATAGCTTCTTTGAAAAGCTACTCCATGAATCTTGCTAAATAAGCTCAAACTTTTAAATAAGTTCCCCAACTTAAACAGAAGTTATTTGAAAAGCTTCTTTGAAATGAGGTAATTGCCAGCTTAAAGCTTGCCAAACATAGTCTAAGATGTTACTGATCAAACAGGCGAAATTTAACAGCTAGTGGACCACGGCCCAATCCCCAAGGTTCATACCATTATGGATTGATCAACACCACAAGGACAATCAGACTCTCAAATTCTGCTCCAATCATCAATGGAAAACAAAGATATGCAATCAACAGTGTATCTTTTAGCCCGGCAGATACGCCGCTCAAACTTGCTGATTATTTCCAGATTCAGGGAGTTTTTACTCTTGGAAGCATCCCTGACAGGCCTGCCGGTTCTGGTGCTTACCTTCAGACCTCTGTCATGGCTGCTGATTTCAGAGCTTATGTGGAGCTCGTGTTTGAAAATTCAGAAGACACAGTCCAGTCATGGCATTTTGATGGCCACCATTTCTTTGTTGTTGGGTAAGCATTTCCTTTGAGGTGATGTCTGTTGTGATGGAATGCATTTATCTGCTATGGAAATTAAAAAACTTCCCACATACTTGCCTAGTTGCCTTGCAACAAAGCGTACTCCACGTTAATTAATGGGTGAAAAATGGTTACATCAGTTTTAAAATTCCACAAATTTCAATGATAAGTGGCTGACAAAGTGACAAGCCAAACGTCTTCTTATCATTGCAAAAATGCATGCTACCAACTTGTAAACATTGTTTGGTTTATAAACAGGATGGATGGAGGACAATGGGATCCATCAAGCAGATTAGCATACAATTTAAGGGACACAATTTCTCGTTCCACTGTACAGGTAAAAAAAGGGACTAAAATATTTGCAATTAACCTGCAAAAGAGATTTTCAGAGTTGGAGATTTCAGCTTGAAGTATGATTTCGCGATTATTGTTGACAGGTGTCCTACATCAGCTATATATAAGACCTTGAAATGAACATATGACTAGGTTGACCTTATAGGAATATGGGATAAACAACTGACCTTTTGGGACATGAAAGTTCTATTATCGACTGGAATTTGTCTATAAACGTATGTTTTGTCTATTTCTAGATACTTAGATAGTCAGATAGTTTTTATATTTATATATACTATTTTTGATAATTTCATCTCTATTATAGCAATTGATAATTTCATTTTCAATGAAGCCAAAGACTCACTATTTTTTAGCTTGGAAAGATGATGAAATAAAGCAAAATAGCTCAGCTCTTTGTTATGAAGCAACATGCAGTCCGAGTAATTTTTATGGAATTTTCATCACAAGACAAAGTGACCCACCCTCATTACTATGAGACACAAGTTTAGATGGAGTAGTTTATTGAGAAATTATTGCTCCACATGTTTTTACTTTGTATTCGATACAGGGTGAAAAAAATAGTACTCCATATTTACCCTAAAGCCCATAACAAAGTTAACGTTTTGTGGCTTTTTGTGTGATGGTGGAAGGTCGTGGAGGTCATTTTTCTTAATTATGTCTAGTGTCATAGAGGTCTTTTATCTTAACTTGTTGCTGATTTTCTGGTAAATCTAAACCATAAAAAGTATAAAATGCACAACACGAAGTTATCTTTATCCTCTATTTTATGAACTACAGGTGTATCCCAAGTCTTGGACTGCACTGTATGTGCCGCTGGACAATGTGGGAATGTGGAATATAAGGTCTGAGAACTGGGCACGGCAATACTTAGGCCAACAGCTTTACCTTCGAGTTTATTCACCGGCAAATTCCTGGAGAGATGAGTATCCCATTCCCTCCAATGTTCTTCTTTGTGGTAGAGCATTAGGTCATAAACCAAACCCTCCCATCCTCTTCAGTAAACAGCAATGATTGATCGTGATATAGAGATTTTGGCATCTTCAGTTTATTTGCTTCTTCCGTCAGTGAGAGTTACTGTGAAGATGCCTGTTGATGCCCTATAGGGCGGCTGCAGGCAGTTAGTTCCTATTCACACGATTCTGTTGTTGTAATTCATCTTTTCGCAGAAGACATTCAAAGGTGATATTTAACATCCTGAATTGCTCAACCATTTGTTTGTTCATTATTATGAGCATCCAAGACTGAAATTTCGGGTAGAACACTCCTTTTGTTGAATCTTTAATTTGTAGGTCTATCATAGAAAGTTTAAAGAATGAGTTGTATGTCTAGGTAGATGGAGTCTTGTATTTCATTCTTTTAGTAATTGTATTTGCATATTCTCATGAAAACAATATGATACTATGACATTTTTATGCATTTAATTACACATTATTTGTGTCATATTATGTGAAGATAAGATGTTACTACTATGTGTGAAAAATGTGAAGTGATATGTAAGTAATCACTTGTCACATCTAACCCGGGGTGCTGGTCTCTGGACTACAAACTTGGAATCGGTATGGGCACCGGTCCAAATGTGGCATAGTTCCTCCCAGGTCTCCTAGCTAACACCTGACTACATCCCTTCTGGTATTGAGTGTCTATTTTATTTTTAGCATGGTTAAGAAAGTAGTGCTGAATGACTGAATCGGAACATACTCTGAGTTGCGCATATTCACGGTTATTATCCACCAAAAGTACTCACCAAGTCACCAGAAGTCCAGAATCATAATCGTGAGTAATTATATTGTGAATCCATTACCCTCTTGGCCTCTAGCCCTCTCTGATCTGGAAAATATTCTTCCCACTGTATTTTAAATTTTCAACGGAAAATGCAACCGAAATATATCCAAGCATTCTAGCAAAGCATGACCAGTCCCCTAATCATACGCCTGAGTTCTTAAACTTAAAATTTCCGAAGCAAGTGCAGGTGTGCAGCCGGTAAAATGAATGCCGCCAATGGTGTAGGCAGGGCGGTTTATTGGGATGAGTAGATACAAAGAATTTGTTTGGAGCCCGTTTGATAGTTTACACATTAAAACTTTACATGCAAAACGATTGAATGTAAAGTTTAGGACGGTAAAATAGTTTGGCAAATTTCCAATAATTTCTCCTTTGAGTTTAGATGGAGTAGTTTGGGGCCCGATCCAGTTGCATTAAGGATCACAGTTATCTCCTTTGAGTTATACTCCCTCCGTCCCTAATAACTTTGCCAAATTTGACCAGCACGTGGATTAATAAAGTAAAAACTGTGTGGTTGAGGTTTGTGCAAAGGAGAGAGAATTAACTGGAACCACAAATTCTTTACTTAAATGCGAAAGTGGCAAAGTTAATGGGACATCCAAAAAAGAAAAGTTGACAAAGTTATAAGGGACAGAGGGAGTAATTTCAAATAGAATAAAGTGGATTATCAATTATATATACCTGCAAACCTTTTCAAATGCACACTACTCATATTAATTATTGATAATTCACAAAAAATTAAGAAAAAACCAACACCCCAACTAACACCAACAAATAAACTAAACAAAAACTTAAACAAAAACTAAACTAAAACATCAATAAATTCAATAAAACGTTAAGCACAAGTATTCTGCCGACAGTAAAAGCACTTTTTGCAATCACCCGTGTTTAAATAAAAGCATTCTTTGGGAAAAAGTGATTAGTAGTAAAAGTTTGTAGTGTTTGGTAAAATAAGTGTTTTTTGTGTAATAGAAAAAGTAAAAAGTAGATTCCACACGAAAACCGAGAAAGTAAAAGTTGGTAGTGTTTGATAAAATAAGTGTTTTTTTCTTAAAAAAAAGCCACAATCACTTATTTTAAGTGATTGCAGTTTAAGACGATTCCATTTATATAGAATCCGGTCAATCCACTAAACGTTCTAGTAAAAAAATCATTATTTTCAAGATAAGTGATAGGAAATAGGAACCAGAAAGTGAATTTGTAAATTTCGTACGGAGTATTAGAATTTCAAAAATTAGATCGTAATTGGCAAGGTAGGGGACTTTTGGACGTCTACACCAGAGTCTGAAGGAGTCAGCACTCTACGAGCGGCTACGACACCTATTTTTCCTCTGAAACACATGCACCGTTTAGAGAATTTAAGACTATTTGAGTTTTTTTTAATAAAAACTAAAACGGCCTTGTAATTTTGATTAAAAGAAATTAGAATTTTTGGGTGTTCAAGTGAACACTCTTGAACAATACCAGGTCCGCCACTGGGAGCAGGGATAAAAAACCACACGGATTGCTTTTTGCTTTTCCATATACTGGATTTGGAGAACTAGGAATGCAACAAGGTTTGAAGGGATCATTCCTTAAGAGGAGGACGTTTGCACAAGGATTAAGTACATTGTGTACAAGATTTGGTATAGTATATATTCACGTGACTTGGTTGTGTTTTGAGAACTTTCATGCTGCTCATCACCTGTTTTTTGTCATGAGTGTCTTTGTTTGATCTTGGTTGCTTTAGATAGCCGAGATAGCATCTTGTTTTTGAGGTGATGAGTTATCCAAGCTTTGGATAGCCTTCAGTTTTGCTCATATTTTTGTTGTACTGATAAACTCTTTTGGATGATTTTTATATATACTTACATTTCATCAAAAAATCGAAAGAATAAAAAAATGAAACAGTTAGTGAATATTTACTTAATCAAGTAATGTGAGGGAATTGTTACTATATGTACACCCTTAGCTAGGCTATGCGTAATGATAGCGATGAAAACACCAAAATGGATGTTTTCACCCCAAAGTATGTTGCAGCCCTGAAAAAAATGTACACAAGGGTGCTGAAGTGAGTTGGAGCACCCTTGGGGTGAGAATTAGCAACCCATATCCACATATAAAAATGACACTCAATTACTAAGGTCTGAGAACTCCAGTACCGACTGAACAATTAACCGGGGATGAAAGTGTAATCCATATTCACTCGAGGCAATATTAGCGGGACAGAGGAAATATATAATAAAAAAGGAGTAAAGGGTTAGTTTGGCCCTCGAAGTTGCATAAAAGGGGTCAAATACGTCCTTATATAGAAGATTCTGTCCGTATGTGCCATTTGAGGCGGTTCCCGGTGGAATTTTTTGATAATTTTTTTTTAGCATCTTATTCATTAAGTGTAGTTTACTCATACCAAATCTCAGCTAAACATTCAATCGGGAAGGCATTCAAATGATTTTTTGATGATAACTGCGTCTTTAACTGCACAGTTATCTTCAAGAATTCATTTGAATGTCTTCGCGATTGAATTTTTATCTGAACTTTGGTATGAGTGAACTAGACTTACTGAATAAGATGCTCAAACAATTTCATCAAAAAATTCCACCGGGAACCGCCCAAATGGCGACGGACGGATAGAACCTTCTATATAAGGACTTATTTGACCCTTTTATGCAACTTCAGGGACCAAATTGACCCTTTACTCAATAAAAAAGTAAGATTTTGTGCATTTAATTAAAAAATTGTGTTGAGGGAATAAATTGATGGAGAAGGTTGCTATAACTTTGTTTAAAAAAATACGGAGTATATGAGATACAGATCAGAGTATGTAGTGTATGCTAATCACACATTCACAGGTTAATATGCACTCATAATTTATGTATTATTTAAATAAATCATAATTTTATTTATAACAAAAATATAAAAATATAAAAAATATAAAAATATCAAAAATATTTATAAATCGATAATAAAAAGATATAATTATCCCCCATATGACTAAAACACTTTCACTTTCCCAATCTAAGACCAAACTAGTTTTTTTCTCAAAATATTACCTTAATTTGTATTATTTAATTAAAATTCGTAATTAATAAATAATTAAATTATTTCTATGGACAAATATACCCTTTATGTTATATCTATAAAACCCTAAGCTCCTACCCTTTTTCTCCAACCCTAGCAACTAGACGCAAAAGATCTCTGGCTTCCTGCGCTCCCCGCACGCCTCGCTGCCGCCGGCTCACTGTCCGCCGCCGTCCAATAGCATGGCCGCCGCCGCCACCAGTCCATCTACTCGCAGGTTTCACGGCCACCGTCCACCGACCACCAGTCCATCTCTAGTTCCACCCTTGTTCGCCGCCGTCGCCGCCAACCGATCACGCCAGTACACCACCGCCATCACTACACCTGCGCGCCGCTGTCGTCCCGATCCATGGGCGCCGCCTCCATCCCAATTCATGGTCGTCAACATCGTTCCAAGCCCTGAGCGTCGCCGTCCTCGTCGCCGTCCAACCGCACGATTGCACTCGATCCAAATCACTGCCGCTCAGCTGCGCCCCTCTGCCGCTCCTACAACTCAGATTCTTCAGTCAAGGCGGCCAAGGTTGATGGCGAACCGAGGTTGAAGACGAACCTAGGTTGAAGACGATGAAATAAGTGTGCAATGAATAATTTATATTTAATGCCATGAACATCACAAGAAGCGCAATGAGTTATGACAAAACGTGCAATGATATGGCAAGAAGCGCAATAATGTAAAAAGTGTAATGACATGAAAAGAAGTGCATTAAAAATGACATGAAAAAATATCTATAAATTCATAGCATCATTTGTAATATTTAACCAAATGTAAGAACTAAAGTTATGAAATCTAAAAAACGCTAAATTCATTTTATGTAATGTTATGTCGTGCAGTGAATACCGCCATAAAGTGCAATAAATGTAGTGCAATAACGCCTTCATGAAGTGCAATATTTTTACCCGGACGAAATTAGTGTAAAATGCATATTTTTTAAAAAAAGGGTATTTTTGGCCTTCCACAATTTAATATAACGAAAAATTCTTTTTTTTTTTATTTTTGGTCATATTTCGAGAAAAAAACATAACTAGTCACATTTCGAGAAACTCACTTTGTTTTAGTCATATCCCGGGAATTTTTCCTAATAAAAATGGGAAAAATTAAAAAAATTCACATACACAACAATACTATGAGTACCATGCATGTGTTTCTATGTTATACCGATCGAGTATGTTGTAAAAGATTATACGTAGTACACTAGTACATCAAAACATGATGTACACCCTTATTTTAAAAAAAATAGAGGGTATATAAGATACTACGTACGTATAGATCAGAGTAGTATCACAGGTTATTAATATTCATCACTTATCATTTATCAATTTTGTAGATACGTGAATCCATAGTTAAGGCTGCATGTATATTATTACTCCGTAATTAAGACAAGGCGATTGTGGGCTGGTCATTGATGTGGGTTGCAGATGCATTAGGAAAAAGAAGAAGCAAATTGGCATTGAGCGCAGTGCAAAACAGCAGAATAAGCGACACCGTGACCGAGAGTGCGGACAGAATGAGCATTAGGATGTGCGCTTCTGTGCTGTTCACTTCCAGGGCGTACTTCGTTGACGCAATCGCCATCACCGTTACAGGAAATGAATATGCCCA